CACTTTGAAAGCAAAGCCTCTTCGAAACTGTAACAAGCAAAATCCTCTTTTCTAACGTTCACTCGAGTCTTTGTACAGCTGGGTCGGAAGAAGTTGCATTACCAGAGAGTCTAGATTGGAGGATGTTCCAGCGGTTAAAGCAATGGAGTAGTTTGAAGCTTTATACATGTATGATCGTTGGTTTCAAGGAAAAGGCCATGAGAAGGCAAAGGGAAGGGCAATTTGAAAGCAAAAGCTCTTCGATGGCAAAGACACGTGCGTTATGAAGGCAAAGTCCCTTCGATGGCAAAGGGAATGAGTCCCTTCGATTGCAAAGGAAAAAGAGGCCCTTCGATGGCAAAAGCCCTTCGATCGCAAAGGCAAGTGCACTTTGAAGGCAAAAAAAAGCCCTTCGATGGCAAAGGTAAAAATATCCTTCGATGGCGAAGAGAAGGGCACAATTGCAGGCCCTTCGACCGCAAAGGTCCTTGGATGGCAAGGGTTCTTCCATAACAAAGGCAAGTGCACTTTGAAGGGAAAGACCCTTCGATCGCAAAGGTAAAAAAGGCCTTTGAAAGCAAAGTCTTTTCGAAACTGTAACGAGCAATATCCTCTTTTCTCACGTTCACACGAGTCTTGGTACAGCTGGGTCGGAAAAGAGTTGCATTACCAGAGAGTCTAGGTTGGAGGTTGTTCCAGCGGTTAAAGCAATGGAGTAGTTTGAAGCTTTATACATGTATGATCGTTGGTTTCAAGGAAAAGGCCCTTCGAAGGCAAAGGGAAGGGCAATTTGAAAGCAAAAGCTCCTTCGATGGCAAAGACACGTGCATTATGATGGCAAAGGGAAAGAGGCCCTTCGATTGCAAAAGCCCTTCGATCGCAAAGGCAAGTGCACTTTGAAGGCAAAAAAAGAGGGCCATTCGATGGCGAAGAGAAGGGCACAATTGTAGGCCCTTCGACCGCAAAGGTCCTTGGATGGCAAAGGGTCCTTCCATAACAAAGGCAAGGGCACTTTGAAGGGAAAGACCCTTCGATGGCAAAGGTAAAAAAGGCCTTTGAAAGCAAAGTCTTTTCGAAACTGTAACGAGCAATATCCTCTTTTCTCAGGTTCACACGAGTCTTTGTACAGCTGGGTCGGAAGAAGTTGCATTACCAGAGAGTCTAGATTGGAGGATGTTCCAGCGGTTAAAGCAATGGAGTAGTTTGAAGCTTTATACATGTATGATCGTTGGTTTCAAGGAAAAGGCCCTTTGAAGGCAAAGGGAAGGGCAATTTGAAAGCAAAAGCTCTTCGATGGCAAAGACACGTGCGTTATGAAGGCAAAGTCCCTTCGATGGCAAAGGGAATGAGTCCCTTCGATTGCAAAGGAAAAAGAGGCCCTTTGATGGCAAAGCCCTTCGATCGCAAAGGCAAGTGCACTTTGAAGGCAAAAAAAAGGCCCTTCGATGGCAAAGGTAAAAATATCCTTGGATGGCGAAGAGAAGGGCACAATTGCGGGCCCTTCGACCGCAAAGGTCTTTGGATGGCAAGGGTCCTTCCATAACAAAGGCAAGGGCATTTTGAAGGGAAAGACCCTTCGATGGCAAAGGTTGAAGGGAAAGACCCTTCGAAAGCAAGAGCAAAGTCTTTTCGAAACTGTAACGAGCAATATCCTGTTTTCTCACGTTCAGACGAGTCTTGGTACAGCTGGGTAGTAAAAGATTGCATTACCAGAGAGTCTAGGTTGGAGGATGTTCCCGCGGTTAAAGCAATGGAGTAGTTTGAAGCTTAATACGTGTATGATCGTTGGCTTCAAGGAAAATATCCTTCGAAGGCAAAGGGAAGGGCAATTTGAAAGCAGAAGCTCTTCGATGGCAAAGACACGTGCATGCATTATGAAGGCAAAAATGGCCTTCGATGGCAAACGGAAAGCGTCCCTTCGATCGCAAAGGCCTTTTGATGGCAAAGGCAAGTGCACTTTGAAGGCGAAATAGGCCCTTCGATGGCAAAGGTAAATATCCTTCGATGGCGAAGGGAAGGGCACATTGAAGGCCCTTCGACCGCAAAGGTCCTTGGATGGCAAGGGCACTTTGAAGGCAAAGACCCTTCGATGGCAAAGGTAAAAAGGCCTTTGAAAGCAAAGGCAAAGTCTTTTCGAAACTGTAACAAGCAATATCCTCTTTTCTCACGTTCACACGAGTCTTGGTACAGCTGGGTCGGAAAAGTTTGCATTACCAGAGAGTCTAGGTTTGAGGATGTTGCAGCGGTTAAATGGATGGAGTAGTTTGAAGCAAGATATATTTTTGATCGTTGGCTTCAAAGGCAAAGGGAAGGGCAATTTGAAAGCAAAGGCCCTTCTTCGATGGCAAAAGCAAGTGCTATGTGAAGGAGAAGTGCCTTTGCTGGAAAAAAGCCCTTGGATGACAAAAGCGAAAAAAGGGCACTTTGAAGGCAAAGGCTGTTCGATGGCAAAGGGAAAGGAGCTTCGACAGCAAAAGGGCCCCCGATGGCGAAGTGAAGGGCACTTTGAAGGCAATGTCCCTTTGATGGCAAAAGCCCTTCCATGGCAAAAGCAAAGTGCGCTTTGAATGCAAAAGCCCTTCGATAGCAGAGGAAAGGTTCTGCTATCTCAAAGACCCTATGAAGGTTAAAGGACTTCGATGGCAAAGGCTCTCCGCTGGCAATGGTGGCACTTCGATAACAAAAGCCTTTCAATGGCAAAAGCAAAGGCACTTTGAAGGTAAAGGACCAACGATGGCAAGGGCACTTCGTGGCAAAGGCTTTACATGTGGAGGTATTATATTTGGAGCGTTTGGCTTCAACGAAAAGGCCCGTCAAAAGGAAAGGTCCTTTGAATGGCAAAGGCCCCTCGATGGCGAAGGGAAAAGGGGGGTACTTTGTAGGCAAAGTCGCTTCGATCGCAAAGGCCCTTCGATTGCAAAAGCAAAAAGTGCACTTTGAAGGCAAAAAGTAAATAAATGCCCTTCGATGGGAAGGGCACATTGAAGGCCCTTCGACCGCAAGGGTCCTTCCATGACCAAGGCCCTTTGATGGTAATGGCACTTCGATGGCAAAAACAAAAAGGACTTTGAAGGGTAAAAAAGGACCTTCGATGGCAAAGGCTTTTACATTTGGAGGCATATGTTATTTGGAACGGTTGGCTTTCAAGGAAAAGGGAAAGGTGCTTTGACGGCGAAGCCCCCGCGATGGTGAAGGGAAGAGCACTTTGAAGGAAAATTCCCTTCGATGGCAAAGTCTCTTCGAAGCTGTAACAAGCAAAATCCTCTTTCCTCACATTCACTCGTGTCTTGGTACAGTCTAGGTTGGAGGTTGTTGCAGCGGATAAAGCGATAGAGTAGTTTGAAAGCATCATACAAGTATTATTTGTTGGCTTCAAGGAAAAGGCCCTTCGAAGGTGAAGGGATACCACTAATGGGTATTAAAAACGTTGGTATGGTGAGAGACGGCAACCACTCACCAGTGGTAGCCAAATGCACTGTGGAACTACGAGCTCGGCACCAAGCAATAATCCCCATGCGTTCTAAAGATAAGAGTTTGTAAAAGTGGTTTATTTGAATCAACTAAAATACCAGGTGGAGCATTATTGAGCAAAAAAGTAGTAGAAGGAGGAAAGAATGGACGTTTTTGGGTTCGAGCTGTAAATTTGACTTCTAATCCTGTCACACTATACAAAAATCAAAGAACCGGGATCATTTCGGAGATCGAGGACATGTCAGAGCCGTTTCATCTTAATCCAAGGGTAGAAACATCTACAGTTTCCAATGTCAGAACCGATCATGGTTGTGTTAAGTGAAATTGGTGTGGACTTGAGCAAGAATGAGTTGAATTCATTCCAGTCAAAAGCAATTAGAGAAACTGATACTGTCATACTCTGACATTTCCTCCAAAAACAAGAGGGATTTAGGAAAGTGCTAGTCTCCTACGGCATACATACTTAGCGGGCTGAGCCCTCACGTAAGGTATGCTTACTTTGGCCAAGAATTCCTTTCTTCAAAATTAGCCAATCACAGCTTTACCCACGAAAATTGTGGGGCTTGATCTTTGACCTTGAGGCTTGGGTCGTCAAAAGTTTCAAAACATTTATTAATCTTTTGAACATTTTCGTATCTTCATTTGTACGTATATTCATATCTTAAACCGATTATATGCGAGAGCTGACAGATATATTTGTTATACCATATACCAGTCTACAAATTTACAATATGGAACAATTATTGTAAAATATGTTAGAATTTGTCCCAGCTATATTGTTTTGAACAGACAGTGTAGTAAAATCGAACAATATCACCTAAAATATTTCGCGATGTTTTGATTATTTTACAAGCGTTCGCAGGGTGTTACTGTAACACGGGTAATATACTGGACAAAGACGGTCAAGACAAAGTTATAATGTTACAGTGTACATTACTGCGGGTGTAGATAATAGATTTATAAATACTAATTGATCATGAAGACTACAGAATTCAGCCTATATAAAATACTGAATTTGATTCATTGCATATTTCGGTTTCTAAGTTTGTATATGACTTTATAGCCAGTTTATAAAGTTTAATAAAATCGTAATTACCAAAAGATATTTGAACGTTCGGAAACTTAGTAACTATTTACAGCATGAGCGGCCGTGTTGTGTGTATCGGATATACAAACTCGAGCCGGAAACGACTCATCTTATAATCGTCATGAATTCATTGGCGAAGTAATTTTAAAAATAAACGTTGTCTAAGCCGAGAAAATCAAAAGTTAAAGTTTATTCTGCCACCTATGTACAAATTAAGAGTCTATCATAATTCGCAACGTTAACTAATATATAAATTTACAACATTTAAGAGGCTGTCTCCCTAAAAACCGACCACTCATATTTTACGTAAAAAGTAATAAACCCACCTAAAACTTTATGACCAGGAAGGTTTTGGGCTTTTAATTAATTACCTGAATCGGTTTTATTTTTCTCAAATATTCTATTTTTGGCCAGATATAGCGATCACTAGTCCCAGGGATCTCGGAAGCAAAATGGTGGCCGTCTAAACACGACATTTCCTACTATCGGTTGCCGCATACGCGGAACTCTGACTTCCAATCTCAATTCCGTTTGGATATTTTTTAACAAGTGGTTGAAATTTATCGTTAATACTAACATCCTTGATTTCATGTATTAGTTATTTAAAAACTTTGCACAACACGAAACCACGTCTGATCAGCCTTGTCTGTACGGCCAACACACCACGTCGAGTGGAATTTGATATTCCCGAATCTGGATTGAAATTTCCACAACTAACTACCATAGTTGTGTTATATAATACTTAGTTGAATAATATAATATGTTATTTCGTGTGGATCTGTTTGCGTTTCTTCAACAGAATGCTGTCAATATCCATCAAATTCGGCTTAATTCGCAAACGGAAATAATTGGGCACTGCCCAACTGTTCAAAAGTACTGTTGGCCAGAATAATTCGCTAAATACTTACGAAAGCCACAAGTATCGTGTTTTAAAAAAGCAATGTTAAATAGTTTCAAAACTAACAACTACTTGAAACTTCCGGGAAATCATAAATATAGAAAATATCTTGATTCTAGCGCATTGCCAACAACAAAAGACGACAGGTCACGCACAGAGTTGACCATTACGTATAATGTTTTAGTTTTCATTATATTGAGGCCTTTATATTATATGATCATATCAGTTCTTGTTTAAAAACCTTATTTCCACAGCAACCTTACAAATCTTGATTTTCTTTCGGCAAGTTTAATAATTGGTAAGACTCAAATGAGTCAACAATAATAATGATATCGTAATTTCGTCTAAAAATATTTCATTATGCTGTCAAGCCTCAAGAATATAATGTGTAAGACTTGTTAGTACGACAACCGAGAGTGGTGTAATCAAGTTACCAAGTTTCTCCCAGCCCTACACACAACCCGAAACGCGCACGCGCGCACACTTTGCTTCATTCTATATTCTATTCTGGCGCCAGTTGTCATCAAAAGCCGGTTGTTCTAACCCTGGGTCCAAATAGAACTTTCCAACAGCTTGTTTATAAAATTAAATAGGTTTTCCAGAAATCTTTTTTGGATCAGTAGATGTTTTTTTTTAAACTTTTGAAATGAACGGTCTTACAGAAATACCCTCAAAACAGCGGGTTAAAACTTAACCCATGCTGGGTCAATGCTAATCGAGCTTTGAACAACCGGACCATGGACTATGTTTGTTGCAATTTTATTATATTACCATTTATAGAATTGACTTCAACGTACAGTAGTATTATAGAACATAAATATGAAAATCAGGAGGATGAGCAAACACATTCTCTTACTTATTCATCGCTTATATGCATTTAACACATATCGCTCAATAGACGAATGAAGGTTTAGTTGAAGTTAACTGAAATTCAAACAGTTCCCAACTCGACACTTAGAAGGGTCTGGAGAAAATATTTCACCCTCCCTGCTAATGAAAAATGTACAAGAAAGTTTTGCACGGAAGAAATTTTACTTAATTAGAATGACCTACGCGGCAATCCTGTGCAAGGGCAATATACCAATTTTATTTTGCAAATAACTTTTAAAGAACAGGATTAATTTGGAAAGTTCTTACGTGATCCAACAGGAACATAGGCTTGGTATAACTGTTGTATATTTTTGCACATGTCTACTCCAATTGTAGTCGAGACCTACATTTACATGCTGGTTCACTAAACATTCACTCATTTCATAGTTTTTTAAAACAAATATTTAATAAAAACGATAAATAACAACTTCAACGCGGCCATGTGTTTTCCGCCCTTTTCTTCCGTCTAATTAATGTACTTTATGTCGCCAAAATGGCGTTAGTTTGTCAACTGTTCGTTTTCGCTCCGACATCTCCCCCTCCCGGATTTCTTGCGATCCGTCTTCTCATGATTTCAAAATTCCAGTGGTGATACGCGTCCAATCGACCGTCTGTAGATCTTATCATTTTCTCTCACATCCACTACACGAGCATTGCCGTCCTTTCCAGGATAAACTGCTTCAATCTTCCCCAATTTCCATTGTCGTCTCGGTGTTCCTGGATCGATAGCTAATACTATATCTCCTTTCTTCACATTATCTTGTTTGTTAAACCATTTTGATCGGGACCCAAGACTTGTAAGGTACTCTTGCATCCAGCGTTTCCAGGTCTGGCGAATAAGTTCCTGCACGCGCCTCCAACGTTTCTTGGGGTTAAACGGTGTGTAGTCGACACTCTCTGGTGCAACATCACCTCCTGATTGACCGATTAAGAAGTGGTTTGGTGTTAACACTGGTTCGTCGTTTGGATCTCCGCTAACATGAGTCAAAGGACGTGAATTCATCAGACTCTCTACTCCAACAATGACTGTCTCTAGTTCTTCGTCACTTACGTCTGCGTTAGTTAAAATTCCTTGGATCGCTCTCTTGGCTGACTGAATCATCCGTTCGAATACGCCTCCAAAATGCGGTGATAACGGTGGATTCCAACGCCAGTCTACCCCTTTATTGGACGTCTGCGCTTTAATCTTCTCTTTGTCGATCTCACCAACAAGTTTACAAATCTCGTTGTGACCTCCTACAAAATTGGTACCATTGTCACTAAGCATAGTTCGAGGCCAACCGCGTCTCGATACCATTCTGGTGAACGCTTGCAAAAATCCGTCTGTTTCCAACGACCATGCCATTTCTAATTGGCAACAATGGGTCTGCAAGCAAAGAAATAGACACAAATATCGTTTCGTTCGTGTCCTCCCTCGTCCTTGCTTTGTGAGGTAGGGTCCTGCGAAATCAACTGCACAGTTCGTGAAAGGTTTCATCGTCAACTCTAATCTGATATTGGGCAATGGTGCCATTTGTTGCACGCCTGGTTTGCCGGTAAAACGCCGTTTGCACGTTGTGCATTCTTTTGCCGTTCTCTTTAACATTTCTCGGCCATGAACGACATGGTATATCTCTCGAAGATGATTCAGCGTGAAGTTTACGCCCATTCGATGCCCTTCGCTTTCGTGGTGATACTTCACGATGAGTTTCGTCACTGGATGTCTCTTGGATAAAATTATTGGATATTTTATCTCTTCGCTCAAATCCTCAGAGTATCGAAGCCTCGTATTCGAACGCAGCAGACCATCTTTCCAGATTGGCGTTAAATTCAAAATACTGCTTCTTTTAGGAAGACTCTTCTTCTCTTTTAGTGCAGTAATCTCTTGACAATAAACTTCCATTTGTGCTTCGCGAATAATGATCTCTTCTACACCTTGTAATTCGTTTGCCGTCAACTCTCCACTGACTCGATCTTTCTTCAACTTTCGACAGTTCGCAATGAATCTATGGACCCAAGCTCTAACCCGCACTAACGACAGTCCTAACTCCAATCTCTTAGTCAAGGAAAGGCGATACCACTTTGAAAATCTTGAAGGTTTCAGATGCCATTCTTCTTCTCTTTCGTCTTCTTGAGTCGCATTGAAACAAACTGCGTCACCCTTGCGTTCTGGCTTCATCTCTGCGAAAACTTGGGCGTTCTGTTCTGCAAACTTCTCTTCGGGCCACTTGTCGCGTGATTCTTTTAGAAACTCTGGCCGGTTCCACCAAAGTTCATTCTCTTTCAACTCAGTGACTGTGAGTCCACGTGTACCGTGATCTGCTGGGTTGGATGACGTCGGGACGTATTTCCATTGTACAGGGTTGGTTTCTTCATGAATCTCACCGATGGATGCTTATAGTTTTCAAGGGTGCTAACCGTGTTTTTGCTGCTACGAGTCGGACTGATACGTCACCGTCCTTATATTCATGACGAATATAGACAACCGCGGAATACGCTCTTTCCGAAGCGTCCGAAAACGTGTGAATCTCGATATGTCCGACTTCTACGCTCTTTATCAGACAACGTGGAATTTTAATGAGAGATAATTTGATCAACTCTTCAAACCATTGTTTCCAAGTTCGACGATGTTCCTCGGGGAGATGCTCATCCCAACTCAATCCTTGAACCCACGCTTTTTGCATCATTAACTTTGTCAACAAAATGAAGGGAGCAAGAAAGCCTAAAGGATCAAAGATCGTTGCGGTACAGCGAAGAACGTTCCTCTTCGTGTAGACAAATTCTTTCTCTGGTGGAGAATAGTGAAACGAGAACTGATCGTCCGTTGCAGTCCACGAAATTCCGAGGGTCTTCACGCTTGACAATTCATGCAGGTCGAGGTTGATTTGTGATGCACGATCTTCTTCCGGAATATCTTCTAGCACTTCGCGACGATTCGAAATCCACTTACGAATGTGAAATTTTGCTTTATCTCCTAACGTTGTCAATTGCTGTCGAGTTTCAATCGCTTGTGATGAACTTTCGACTGATGGCATCAAATCATCCATGTAACAATTTTTTCCAACTGCTTCGGCGGCTAAGGGTAATTCGTCAGCGTGTCGTTCTGCGTGTTGTTGCCATGGTGCAAAGGTCTATCTTCTGGCAGGAGAACCAACTGATGATACATTTGGCTAATATCTCCGACTAAAGCACGGGATCCTTGCGAAATTTCACTAATATGTCCACAATGTCACTTTGCAGTTTAGGACCAGGTAGGGATTTTGTGTTCAGGCTCTTCCCTTCGCAAGTTGCCGATGCGTCGAAAACAATTCGAACTTTTGTTGTGCTCTTGTCCGGTCGCACATCAGGAAAGTGAGGCAACAACCACTCACATTCTGGTTTCGGTTCATCCGAGGGCACTTGTCTGATATATCCTTTCTCTAAATATTCGTTAATGACTCCCTGATAAGCCACTGCCAATTCTGGATCTTTGAGTAACTTTCGTTCTGTAGAATCGAGCCTTTGCTTCGCCAATGAACTATTAGGTGCAAGCTTCGGTCGACCATCGCGCCAAGGAACTGCTACTTCATAGTGCTGCCCGTTGAACTTCACTGATTCACTCACTTTTGTCCAAGCAAGTTTCTCATCTGGTGTCATCTCTAAAATGGGAAATTCTTTGTGTGTGATTCCAATGTTCTCTAAATCCCAAAACCGCTTAAGCATGTCATCAAGATTCCTATCTGTTTGATGAACTTCAATCGATGGCTTGTCTTGATTCAACAAATACGTGTGATGAAACCCAGTATGATGGGATCCATTCGATTCAATACCATTCACTTTTCCAACCGCTGTCCACCCGAGTGGACAGAGCCTTGCTGATGGTTGACCATGCTCTCCAACTACTTCTTTCATTGAATACATCAGTTCGTGATGATCCGCTCCTAAGAGAATATCCACTCGTCGTCCAGTTACTAGTTTTGGAAAGTAAATCTTCTGTAAATGCTGCCAGTTGTGTTTAATCTTTATCCAATTGACTGGTTTCATACCACCACAAATTTTCTTTGACGATTGCACTGTTATTGTGGTGTCCACGCGACCATCAGTACTTTCCAACCCGACATCAAATGTTGATGACATAAAAGTGACTGTTTCATCATTAGCCACTTTCACATTAATCTCCGTTTTAGCTCCATGCAACCCCAAAGCCTCAATAACATCTTCGTTAATATAGCTCGTATCACTGCCTTCGTCCAAAAGACAGTTTACAGGAATCCTCTTGTTTCCATTCTTTACAATGACTGGGACTGTTCGCAAAGCAACATATTCTGTTTCCTGTCCTCGAGTTGCTCCATATGTCTTTCGTTGGTCATCCCCCTCCGTATTAGATCCTGGTCCTGACTCAACCTTCATATTGTCATCTTTCTCCTTACTGGGTGCCTTAGAGGGATCCATTGGCCTATGAAGCAAATAGTGGTGGGTCTCATTGCAACCGTCTATGTTACATTGTCTGTTCCATTTGCATCTGTTCCACTTCCATCGACTCTTTCTTCTCGTATCTTCCGAAACCCATGCTTAATTTCTGAGGCCTAGCTGAATTTGGTACTCGGCTTCTTGGGAAATCCAATCCTTTAATGTCTCCATGGATTCTTCCTTTTGTTTCTCTCTTAAACTGCCTATATCACTTGTGGGATCTTTACGGATTTGAAAAGAGCGCAAAAAGTTATTTAACAAGTTGTTCAACCTTTTTTGATTTAGGTCAATAGTTTCTGAGATATAGGCCCTCAAACATGGCAATTTTGACATTTTTGGGGAAAAAATCCGTCGTACTAAATTTTGCTTGGGGGCCTGGGACTCAGGAACGCGAGCGTAAACAAACACTATAAATTATATTACAAATTGCCGCTATAACTTACTAAAATGATCATTTTGGCAAGAAAACTCGATTTATTTAGCTCAAAATCGTCTTCCAGTACTGACAAAAGTTCATATACGATTGCGCGAAATATAAAATCGTGGTGAAACGCACAAAACGACTTCAAAATCAAATTTGAAAGTGAGCTTTCCTAAATGTCGTCAAGCATTGGCTGCATAATTGTCGAGCATGAAAGAGTTGGCATAGTGGCATACACTGAAGAATATGTTTTGAAAGCTAGAAGAATATAACAGGGATGTAAAGAAATTATTTATAGATGGAACGGGCATAATCGTGTTAGTTCTCGGTAAGTGATTTTCCATTTGTAAATATCGTGTGATAGTCGACTCATTTGGCAATTAATATTCTGCGACTGCAAGTAAACAAACGTAAAATTGTGCATTTTAGATTCAATACTATTATAGCTTAACTATTGAAAAACACTATAAAATTTGATATAGACATGGGATAACCGGTTTGATTTGCCATTCACAAAATATGCAGGAATTGATTCTGTTTGCCTCAATTGCTTTTGATCTGATCATTTGAAAAGCTTTATTGCTGGACATATTCAGTTTATTAGGGCCATGCAAAGTTTCTGTGTATTATAGGAATAGGTTAATACACCTTGCTATTAAATGTCAAGGCAAAGCTTGAGCTGCACAGATTACTGTGTCTTGACTCTTGAATAAGCTGTATAACAGATCACTGGTTTGCCTCATCTTTACTTGATTAAAGAAATATATATTATTAAAGTCTAAGGTATAATTATATCTCTACTTTTAGGTCTTTATATCAGTGGCATACATGTGATTCACCAGATTAGCTCATGGTTGTAAAAAAGATGAAATAATACCATTGTGTTCTGTTTATCAAACTATCTGCAGTTTTTAATGGGAAAGATGATGACTTCAAAGGATATGAATATTTGGAAAATGAGAAATAAGAAATATAACTTTAAAGCACGACTATAAACTACAAATATGATTTTTGGTATGTGCAATATATGTGTCATTCGTTCGAAGAAATGTTATCTCTATAATAAAAAATCCCTTCTTCATCGACCTTTTCACTGTCAAAGTTTCCAGATATGATGTCATTAGGTGAATTTTTACTATAAAGATGCATTACATTTCTTATTAGAATTTTGACCCAAATATCACACAAACCAAAAATTCTATTTGGCGTTAATAGTCCAACTTTAATTAATGCATGCTTGATTTTTTTGTCATTAACTTGCATTTAATAAAGTTACAGCACACATAGTGCACAAATAATATCTTAGTTTATTTTTTTAAAAAAAGTCAACAGACAAAGGAGTCAAAGTCATGAAAAAAAGAACTGAATTCGTGCTACCGTGTACAGGAAAATGTTTATTTAAAAACTTGATCAACAAGAACAGCTTAGGAAGACAGGTTATACAGAATTGAATAATAGTTGAAGGGTCTTGTATAGATGGAAATTATCGAGTAGAAGTTTATATGCATTTATTATACCTAACCAGGAAAAGTTGTGAAAAAGCGAAATGCAACTGCTGATCGCTGGCAGAAATCCAACCTGCCCTGCAATTCCAGTGCACTGCGCTTGCTGTAACCAATATATACAGGGGTGGGGAAAAAAGGTGAGCACTGTTCATGCGCAGTAAATGGGTCGTTCCGGAAAAGATCCATACTCCCCCCACGGAGGAAATTTCTGCCATCCGGAGGGGGAGGGGAGAAAAAATTGTTTCTGATAATAGTAAATGTATTAGGATATCCGAAGGGGGTAGGGGGGTTAACTTCCTATTTCCTCCATGGGGGTGGTATGGATGTTTTGAACTTTTCTGGAATGACCCAATGTTATACAGCTGCAGGAAATTTGTTTGAATGAAGATTTGCTATTGATTAACATTTGAAGGAAACCTTAACACCCATGTCCCACTATGGGTGCAACAACATATGGTTGACAGACATTATTCCTTGAATTTAAAACCATGGTCAGCTAGAACACTATATGTTTATGCACATGCAGATTTAGCACAAAAATACTCTAATACTAATAAAGGAATTTTTTGTCTTCAGGTTGTGCTTCCGGGAACCTGGCTTCTCATTCAATTCAATAATAGTTGAAGGGTCTTGTATAGAAGGATATTTAATAAATGTACATAAATTTCCACTCAATAATTTTCATCTGTACAAGACCTTTCAAACAGGGTCAGCCCTGCAAACCAGGCACACATAAACTGGCCTGGATCCTTGCAGATTTCATCATGGCTCCAACCCTCTTGTGAGGGTTGGAATGGCAAGGGTTGGAATGTTGGGAGCTTTACCATTTAATAACAGCAAAGCCATAAATTCAAGCCAAGTATTTATATATTGGTCTATTGCAGCAATAAAGCTAATACAATCATTGAATCATGAAATGTATTGTGATATTCAACAGTACAAAATAGAATCGAAAAAGCTCCTCCTTTACTTAATTTTTATATCCCAATAATTCAAGCTGCAAAACATAATTACTCAAAGACAACCCAAAATATGGTATTAAATTGCAAATGGCAAATACATTTACATATAGAAAATATATTATTCACTTTAATACGAAGAACTATCACGATATACTGTACATGTAAGGTCCGTTTCATGTGAAAATGAATTTCCTTATTTCCTTGTTATATTCTTCCAACTTTCAAACGTATTCTTTGGCCCATATTTCGTCAGTGTAGCTTTAAATGCCAACATTTTCATGCCCGACGAAGCTAGATGCCATCTACGAAGGACGGACTTTCAAATTTGATTTTGAAGTCGTTTTGTACGTTTTACCTTCAATTTTATATTCAGCGCAATCGTGGGAACTTTTTTCAGTACCAGAGAACGATTTTGAGCTTAATAAACCGACTTTTCTTGCAAAAATTCTCACTTTAGTAAGTTACAGCGTCAAAATATAATACAATTCTATAGTGTTTGTTTACGCTTGCGTTCCTGAGTCCCAGGCCCCCAAGCACGACGGAGATTTTTTTGAAAATTGTCATCTTTGAGGGTCAATATCTCGGAAAATACTGAACCAAATCAAAAAAGGTTGAAGAACTTACAAACTAACTTTTTGTGCTCTTTCCAAATCTGTAAATATCCCACAAGTGATATAGGCACTTTAACCATCTGTAGTATTGGGAGAGTAATTTCTCCGGGATCTTCTCAAGAACAATGGTGTATAAAGTTCCGGCTTCCAGATCCGCTTGTCTACCATTCTCTTTGAGGCAAATGACAGCCCGCTCTAAAACATCCGCAAAGATTTCCAATTCTCTGGCATTTTCCTCTTGTAATGGTTTAAACTTTTTTAATTCTTCTAAATGACTCTGAACCTGTCTCCGACTACCACCATACTTTCTCTCCAATCTAGCCCTTGCAGCATTGTAAGCTTCTTGCGAGTATCCAAGTCCCCTAACTGTATCGTCTGCTTCTCCTCGTAAACATGATTCTAGTCTAAGCATTTTGAACTGTGGACTCAATGACGTTTTATCTACACAGCTAGTAAAAGCGGCATTCCATTGTTGAAACTTCATTTTGTCTCCTGTAAAAATAGGAATTCGAATTCGCTCCAAATGTCCATCCACTCTGCGAGCATTTCCACTTTGTGAAGTCGTGTTTAATTCCGATTGGCTGCTGGACGACTCAGACGACTGTGTTCCAATTCCATTGTCAACAAATGTAGTGTTGTTTCCACTTGATAATTGTTCATGTCCAATGTTACTGTTTACTTGAGGTGTCTCTTGCGGCAAACTGCTATTCGATTCAGTTTGTACTCCATCATTTTCCAACAAGGGTGTTTCCATATTTTCTGTAGTAATAATTTCCTGGACCAGCTGTTGTGTATTGGTCGGTTGAGATTCAGTTGCCATAGCAACATTGTTTTTTAAATGCACAGATTTCTTGACTAACGATAACAAAAATTGACGTGAGGCATGTGTTTCAACATCCACTTGCTCAGCTATTTTGTCCGATTCATCACCTATTCTTAATGCGTTTTGTTTATCCCCACTTTTCTGGTATGCTTCCTCAAGCTTATCTAATACCTCCAAACAAATGTCTTTCTGTTCATCGATTTTAACCAATAAATCGCATATATTCTCTCGATTAGGGTTTTCCTCTGACAACAAACAGGATAACTGTGTTAACAAACGTGTCAACAACGATTTCGAATTGCATTTCGCTTCTGCTTCTTAAAATCCGATATAACTATTACCACCGTCTCTTGAGCCTCGTTCTCAGTTGTTTCTGTATCACTCATTTTTCTCCACGATAATGTTCACAATATACAACCAAAATACAATCCAAAATGTACTTACGATTGTCGAATTTCCTTTAATTCCGATGAAAATCCAAATTTTCTTGTTTGCCGATGATGCAACAAGTCCAATAGGGCAATATATAAAACCAATATTTACGTATTTTTACCCCTCGATATTTACTCAAATTTCCCTTGAAATTCTACAATCCGACTGTCGAAGGACCAAAAATGTAGTCGAGACCTACATTTACGTGCTGGTTCACTAAACATTCACTCATTTCATAGTTTTTTAAAACAAATATTTAATAAAAACGATAAATAACAACTTCAACGCGGCCATGTGTTTTCCGCCCGTTTCTTCCGTCTAATTAATGTACTTTATGTCGCCAAAATGGCTTTAGTTTGTCAACTGTTCGTTTTCGCTCCGACACCAATCGTATCGCGCGTTTTTAGTGTCGTTCACTTGCCATTGTGTTTAGGGTAGTGACAGGATAGGCGAGATGGTCTCCACTGCTTTCCAAGAGTGAGTCGGTGCTTTGTACAGATTCACATTGCATCTATTTGTCCCTGGCGAAGATTGACTATTCCTGCTCTTGAAAGGATTAACTCTACTTCTGTTAGTGTTTCAGAAGAAAGATGGTTAGTTCGAAGGTGATGTTTTATGTCACTTTGATATTCTGTCAGACGAATTAGTTCCTCGCTGCAGCAAGACTATTCTTCTTTTCCTCCGATAAAACAACATAGCGAAGACATCGTTGAATCGATAATATTAATGGGACAGAACTACGTTTGCAATAATATAATATTAGAAAAAGCATCGATGTAAAAGCTACAAGCGCCCAGTGACGAAAATTAATGATGACTCATATGCATGTTGATTTCAATTATGCATACCGGAAGTATAGTACCGTGATGGAAAAATATATGGGAAAGTATTTAAATAATAAGATTTTTGATAATAGTAGAAATATATAAAGCAGGAATATTCCTGGTCACTACGGAATATTCCCGGCTTTTACTAAACTTTCATCATCACACATTTGTTTACCAAACTTGCAAGATACAACGCGTAAAACATGGTCAACTGTGTGCGTGATCTGCCGTCTTTTGTTGTTGGCAATGCGCTCTCTAATCAAGATATTTTCTATATTTATGATTTCCCAGAAGTTTCAAGTAGTTTTTAGTTTTGAAACTATTTAACATTGCTTTTTTAAAACACAATACTTGTGCTTTCGTAAGTATTTAGCGAATTTTTCTGGCCAACGCGTACTTGAACAGTGGGCAGTGCCAATTATTCCGTTTGCGAATTAAGCCGAATTTGATGGATATTGACAGCATTCTATTGAAGAAATGGAAACAGATCCACACGAAATAACATATTATATTATTCAACTAAGTATTATATAACACAACTATGGTAGTTAGTTGTGAAAATTTCAATCCAGATTCGGGAATATCAAATTCCACTCGACGTGGTGTGTTGGCCGTACAGACAAGGCGGATCAGACGTGGTTACGTTGTGCAAAGTTTTGAATAAATAATACATGAAATCAAGAATGTTAGTATTAACGATAAATTTCAACCACTTGTTGTTAAAAAATATCCAAACGGAATTGAGATTGGAAGTCAGAGTTCCGCGTATGCGGCAACCGAATTTAGTAGGAAATGTCGTGTTTAGACAGCCGCCATTTTGCTTCCGAGATCCCTGGGACTATTGATCGGTATATCTGGTAAAAATAAAATATTTGAGAAAAGTAAAACCGATTCAGGTAATTAAAAGCCAAAACTTTCCTGGTCATAAAGTTTTAGGTGGGTTTACTTTTTACGTAAGATATGAGTGGTCGGTTTTTAGGGAGACAGCCTCTTAAATATAGATAAAAATCCTTTCACCCCTCAGTCAAACACGTGATGTTTCGTAACATCCCTAATATGTGCAGTTCTAAAATTTTCTTAAAATAAACGCTGCGTTATTGAAAAGTCAGTAGTGCGACCACTTCTTGAGAAATTGGATGGCTCCCGAGAATGAAACAGAACTTCGTCGGTTCTTAGGAGTTTCAATAACTGTATTTTTCGCATTTTTCGCATTTTCGCAATAATTGCATTTTTCGCAGTCGTTCCTGGTTAGGTCTTAAAATGTATATATTCTCACCTGGATTACAAACCCTAACATCTTAGGAGTTTGCATGTTCTGGAGACGATTTTTAAAGGATTTCACAAAAGTGGCGGTACCACTACACACCTTGATTAAACAAGCCCGACTTTATGTGGACACGCGAGTGCCAATGTGCATTCGAAGAATTGAAAGAAATTCTATGCTTGTCCGTAACGCTAAATTTACCTGATCGATTCGCCCGGTTTTCAGTGACCTGCGACGCCTCTGACTAGCCAGTAGGGTACTACTTAGAACAAGACGATACGTCAGGACAACGATGACCAGTAGCTTTTGGGGGCAGAAAACTAACAAAAGCTGAAACAAACTATTCTCCGTCACAGAAAAGGAATGTTTGGCAGTCGGTCGGAGATCTCAAAGCTTATCGCCCATATTTGTTAGCCAGGGAGTTTGATTTGTTTACGGATCATTAGTCACTGAAATGGCTTTTGATGCCGACCAAAGAACATAGTGGGCAATTGATAAAACTAGAATAGTGAAGCGAATAGTGCGAATAGTGCAAATAGTCGACGAATAGTGCGAATAGTCCGCAAATAGTCGACGAATAGTGCGAATAGTCCGCGAATAGTCGACGAATAGTGCGAATAGTCCGCGAATAGTGGACGAATAGTGCGAATAGTCGACGAATAGTACGAATAGTCCGCGAATAGTCGACGAATAGTACGAATAGTCGACGAATAGTGCAATAGAGACTTTGCAAGGCTTTCCGCCGTGCTGTAGAACTAAATTTACCGAAGCGGGGGGGGGTCTCTATTGATAAACATGAAATCGTGAAAACATTCGTTGATGTCAATGACGTCATACGTTGATACGCATTCGGTAAAAATTACGGGACCACTGAGTTTTAACAAATATTTAACAGGAAGTACTTTTCCGACAAACCGAAAAATTTTTTCCGACAAACCAAAAAGTTTTCCGGACGACAACATTTTAAATCTTCACCCCCACCCACCCCCCCCCCGTCGACAACTTCGACAATTTCCGACAGCCTTGACAATTTTCCGACAATTTCCGGCAGCATTGGCAATTTTCCGACGGCTGTCAACAATAGGGGAGGGCCATGCCCCCCCTGCCCCCCCCCGGCCACGGCGCCACTGATGACAATCACTAGAATGACGTTTACCACTGGGTGAATTTGTTCGCGCGAAGCGACATGTAAAAGAGTCTGCCTCGTCCCTCGTCGCTTCAGTTGGGAATAGAGATAAGTGGAAAAACAATGGGAGCGCGGTGCTTAATGGGAATGCGATAGAATCTGAAGCGACTCGGAAATCCCGCATCCAAGATGGCGTCCATTGTAGTGGGTGAGATAATGCAAATAGGGAGGATTTTTCAAGGTTGTTATGTATGGCGAGGAAACGTTAAAGTATATTTCCTGTTTATTGAAGAAAGGTACGAAGGTATGTCCATTTACATTTTACTTTTTTACGCTCAAAAATGTATCAATTGTCGCAATTTATTAATATATGTGCATATTTAAAAATATCAATCTTATTTTGACTGTTGTAGAGTGTAGACATTTCCAAGTAGTTCTTGGTTCGACGTTTCTGGAGAAGGAACGTTATTTCCATATTTGGCCAAGTTCCGAAAGAAGTTGCCAAAATATACGGAATGTTTCTTTTGCACTCTGTCAAAGTCAAACTAAAGACATACGCTGATCAAAATAATCCCTGTCGAATCTCAGGTAAAAAATTGTTAACTTAATTTCTATTAATCTATCATTTTATAGCCTTTGCACCATTGCAAGTAGCCAGGTTAAGGATGCCATCTTGAATATATTGTTAATTGTTTTCACCATTGTGTTTGCATAATTGCATCTCTTGCAAATTTACCTATAGGGAATTTTATTGTTTGCACCCCTTGCTGGAAGGGTCAATGGTCTATGCCAAGTCTATTGCTTTCAGTTTTTGAGGCTTAAATAACACCATACTGACTTGGTTTCATTAATGCATTTTTCAAAACAAACCCTTGGGCACTTACTCAGCAATCAGCATCAGGTTTGAGTGATTCAAACAGTGATAGTACCTTAAAAAAGGCCTGCTACACATAGGGATCTCTCTCTTATCAGGCAAACCCATCTTTCGCAGAAACATCCCCCATGTTTGAACCTCTTTTAGCATACTGTTCGTATTAATAATTTCATTGGGGGGAAAAACATAGGTGGGTGGGGCCTAGTCAGGTACCAATTAGATCATGTATCAAGGTTGTCAGAAGTGGGGGGGGGGGGGGGGGGGTGGCATGGGCCCCCCCCCCCCAATATTCGTATGAGCAAACACACACAAAAGAACTAGAAAAGTGCAAAAGCAATTCAAATTTATTCTTGAGACCCCACCCCAATATTGATTTACTTCCGACGGCCTTGTGTATATACATGTTACAATAAGTTTTCAAAAATATCAGATTTTCTAAGATCTTTTCTTGCAGGCTACAGAAGAAAACAAGAAATGAAACAAGATGGAATGAATACTTATTAAATTACAGATTTTGATACAAATTTAATTATGATAAAAATTTATCTATTGTCTGAATATTATAAAAAGTAATCAGGCCAAATAAAAATAATAGTTGGTTTTAGGTTTCCGACCGACCTGTCAAAAATATGATCGACCATAAACATTTTATTGACATTTCCCAGTAGGGATCATCTATTCGTAAATATCAGAATATATAAATAGTCATCAGACTCATTTGCTACAAATTATTTTGTTTGCTCATAATTTAATCATTATCTAGTCATGTTAATCCTTGATGCGTTTGTTTCTCGCAAAACAATTACATGTGTAGCTTGCGGGTGATCCCGTGTGGCACGTCTAATCATGTGTGACAGTTACTC